AGTACACATTATCTAATACCTTTTACAAATTGCAAGTACTGTGCTGTAGAGTGTGGGAAAAGTTCAATAAACCCTAGTTTCTGCAAAATACGCATTACGTGTGCCATAACATAAATATTCATTTTTTAAAATCTGGTTTTGTACGTGTATACAAGGTATTAGCAATTTATTTTCTGCATCATCAAATATACTTTACGTTCAGTTTGATGTGAATGATGAATGAGGGTTGAATAGCACTCACTGGTTTCTCTCGTTCCCACTCCTCAGTTCCCCCTGGTCCCCCGCTGATCACCGGTTACCAGCAAGGTGTAGCAGTGCGGCAAGGTGATCTCATCCATCTGGACTGCGCTTCCAGAGGAGGAAATCCACTGGCTGAGGTATCTTAACCTGGCGGTTGTTGTGTCTCTTCACAGAGGTGTTTTGTGCATTCAGCTCATCCAGAAAGTTGCGGTGGAATCCCTCGCAATACCATGACAGGACCCTTACAAGCTTATTAGCGCATCGGTGCCAAGTCTGGTTGTAAAGTGCTAAGATGCAGTTTGTGTAGCTAAGCCCTTCCTTCGATAAATTAGTCCTCCCTTTTTCCTGTGACCGGACTTCTGGATTGAATTGTGCCATGCATGTGACGGGCTCTGCTGCTATTTTTCTTTAACCCTAACAGTCCCAAACCCTCCAATTTCCATACGATTTTACGTACACCCTTGGGGGTTAGGGCTAAAGCAAGTTCATCACTCCGCACTGACTGTCACAACACCAAACTGCTGCTTTGAACCCCAACTGATTGAAAAGTTCACCAATTGGCTGAAAGCCACACAGTGGTGGACACATGTTTGATGCCAGTACATGGGCACTAATACCCAAAGTTGAGTTCTCGGTCAAAAGAGAGAGTTTTCATAGGGTACATGTACATTGTACATCCCTGCATTGTCAGGAGATACATTTGGTATATGATGCATCGCGGCACCTGAAACCTCATGCACCCAGGCAGGGACCACATTGCTAACAAGAAGATCCGAGAAAAAAAAAATCCGGATTTTTGCGACTGAAGTATATCCCAACACAACTTGGTAGCAAAAGCTGTTAGGGAATGCTTCAAAAACAAATACAATACGGGCGATTCATAATAGTGCGCCACCAAGAGTTTGCAACATGCTGGCCAATCATAACACGCGAAATTTGTCGACCATTTCCAAACACGCGTTGGGTCGACAAATTTCGTGCATTGTGATTGGCCAACGCGTTGCAAACTCTTGGTGGCGCACTATTGTGAAGCGGCCGTATTGATCATTTGTTGTGCTTCTGTTTCACGTACAGTCGTCAACTCGTCCAAACTGATATCTCTCATCAGGTTTACTGGTGGAAGAACGGAATTCAGATGGACCACTCCTATGTCACTGATGGCGCAAGTGCACGGAACACGCTGCCCATAATAGTGGGTTACAGCGACATCAATGCAGTCTACAAATGCCAAGTCAGCAGTGTGGTACTGCCTGAGCCTCTCACTGCTCAAGTACAGTTCACCGTCTACTGTGAGTTAAATAAGGGTTGGTGAAAGAACATATGAAACAGTAGATTTGAATCTGCGACCCCAGAGCATGTGTGTACAGTACTTAACAGTTAAAAGTTATTTGTAGCCCCTGTTAATGGGAACGAACAGGTTCATGAAAAGATTTTTCGTCCACATTCATATTTCACAAGGCTTGAAAAATGTTTTCCCACCTGTGTCAAAGACATGAAAAATGTTTTCCGACTAATGTAAAACACATGAAAAATGTGAGAAATACATGAACAACGTATAAAAATATTGTCCCTCTTTCAGAAATTGTTTTCACATAACTGGAACTGAATTCTCTTGGAAGAGAAAAATAAAAGAAGAATTTCCCATTCCAAGGTTAACCACTTCGCGTCGGGGCATTTATGAATGTTGGTAATGCTGGGACGGGATAATTTTCATATTTTTCTGTTTTCAAAATTCTGTAAAAATTCGGATCTTCATTTTAATTTTAGTGGACACTTACACCCACACGAAGGACTGTCTGGTTTCCGCTCTAATCATCTATTGAGGCTGGAGTATTTCAGCGAGGCCTGCTGCCTTGTACAAAAAGCCCAGATTGTGATAATTTTTTTTTTCACAAACCTGGCACAGTGCGCTGCTGACCTCTTCTCAATAGGGGCTAGATAAGCGTGCAGCAGTACTGTGTGGCTCATCACTGCGCTTTTGTCCCCGGTGGTAATCCATTCGCGCTAAATGCCCCAAACCGTGGTAGCTGTTTCAAAACAAGGCTGGATTATCTCTACTACTGAGAGTGAAAAAAATGTTGGTAATGCCCAGCAGCCTGGTCTTTTGTTCCGAGTATGGTCTTTTGTTACAGGGCCCTGTTCCCTTTGTCCAATTTCCCGGCCAGCCCCCGGCCTGGTGAATAAAGAATACGTGTCCGGTACCGGAAACCCTGGCATCAAGTGGTTAACTCTCAGTTGCAGCGTACTGTAGCAGTGTTGCTCAACCCACTGAGCTACTCAAATTAATTACACACTGGCAGATCTCTTGGCAAAGGCAAGCACCAAAAAGGCATAGATTTAAGGACCAATACTCAGCAAAATTTAACCATTAGTCTCTTATTCCTGTCCACAGAATACGCGATGCCCTCCCGGTTTAGTTTCCAGTTCAGTCAGTTCAGGAGAGCTGGCATGGAACAGGGGAACAGGTTGAATGTTTCATTGCAAATTTAAATTTGTTCTCTCCGCAGTTCCACCAGCATATGTTAACATTACGGGCCACGAGGAAATGGTGAACTCTGGAGCTACCATAACATTGCAGTGTACCTCAGGTAGGCTAATGAACAGCAGGGTTGGTCAGGTTGGCGTAGTGGTTTCTTCGGGGGTCAGGTTGGCGCAGTGGTTCTTTCCTCGCCTTCCACCTCTGTGGTCCCGGGTTCGATTCCCGACCTGGTCCACACTTGGATTAGGTTTTCAGTCCCTACCTGATTCCGTGGGTTTTACCTGGGATATTCCTCTGGGTTTTTCCTCCCACCTCTAAAACTCTACTAATTGCTGCTGATTGTCTAATCTCTACAGGTTTCTTCAGGCTTGTAAACTTACAGTGCATAGGGCACTCAGTTGAGAAATCCTTGGTGTCAGTACCAGCACTTTAAAAAATAACAATAGTAAAGATAGCATGGACCCGGAAGTTGTCCAAAACCCGCTTCCTGGTGGGAGGTGTGAGAAATGTGCAGAGTGCTTGTAGGACTCCAGACCCACTGCTGAATGTGTTTGTTTGCAAGTTCAGATTATCTGCACAAAAGAGATCCCTGGCAATTGGGAGATCTGGAGTGATCAGTTTTTGTATTTGCAAATTTTTCTGTTTTTATTCCTTACCGTCTCTTTCCCGTCGCCTTTGTTAGCCAACAGTAACCCCAGCGCCACCATCTCCTGGTACAGTGGCGGTCAGCAGGTCAGTTCCTCTCCGGACGTAGTGTCGCCTGCTCCCAACGGTGGGTACATCACCAGGCAGAACCTGACAGTCACGCTGACGGCCCAGACGGACAGCATGGACTACATGTGTCAGGCCACCAACATGGAGCTCCATGAGTATGCCAATTACGTGGCCACTGTCAGTGTCATGTGTAAGTGTGGCTTTGTCCAAATCAGGGTTCCTGCTGCCTGGAAAAGTCACGAAAAATTCAGGGAAATTTAGTTTCATTTTCCAAGCTTGGAAAAGTCATGGAATTTTTCAAACACTGTGTATAATTTCTTTTATCAGAAATAAGTGCATAAAATGTGTGATTTTATTCGCAACTTTAAAAATCCGAATAGACCAAAACTTGTGTTAAATGATGGATTTTTATGATTTGGTCATGGAAAACGTATGGAATAGTCATGGAATTGAATTGTCCTTTAGGTACAGGAACCCAGCAAATTGATAGACCTTTGCTGGAAACAGCATGTATACTTACGGAGGCTTCTCGTAGAGAACTCTCATTTTGCCTGTTATTTGTATGGGGAGGCCAGAGTTTGTAGAAATATCTCCTCTTGGTTGGTTTTTCATTTTACCTCCAGTCTGTTCAAAATGGACATATACTTGTATGTCTCGTCAGTTTTAAATAGGGTTGTATTTTCAATGCTGTGAATTTTTCTTTTGGCTTTGTTCTCACAACCAACCATACCTTTAGCAGCCACTTGTAAAAAAAAAACACACGTCTTACGTCAAAAGAGCTGACCCTATTTTGCACCCCCACTCTGCTGGTTGGAAATATTCTTGAAAAAGTTTGGTCACTGGCCCACTGCCATAGACTGAAACACTGTACACATCACCAAAGCAAACGCAAGTTGTCACAGCAAAATATGTCCATAATAGGGGCATATTTAGCGCAGATGTTTGGATGACATTACTCCTTTGCTTGTGGTTATGCAAATTGGTTTTTTGGCCTGAAAATCCAAAAAGGTACAAAAATGTCCAAACATTGCGCAACAAAAATTGAAAAACCAGTTGGAACATAAATGAGCATACACGAACAGCATTAAAAGATTGCATTCCCCGGGGCTGTTAATATATGTATGTGTGTATGGCCAGCAGACTAGTATGGTGCAACCACGGCAGTGGTACATGTATGTAATGATCCAGTTCCAGCCCTGATGAAGGGCATCCAAGGTCACTCGGGGGCAGTAATCCGCCCCGGGCTGAAATACACCCCTTGCACGCGTTCTGGGCGTACGCAAAGACCATACCAACTGGCATAAATTAGTTATGCATACTCAGTGCGCTCCGCGTCAAACGTGCATATACTTGCACGCCTCATGGCGCACCTATGCGGTGAGTACCAAAAAAACACGCCCTCTTTTGTTCCGCTTGGAGCCCTGGTGCCTCAGGTCTCTCCTTTCAGCATGGTTATACCGGTACTCTGACTGGCACACTTGCTCTGTTCTCAAGTGGCCTTGCCTTGTTGAAATATCGAACTGGCTTGTTGCAGAAGAATTTACAGCCAAGCATCTTCAGCTCCAGTATGTTGTACACTTTTAAATGTGCATCATTGTCAGAAATGACCAGTTTTTTTTGTTTTTTTTTATTGATTCTAGATCCACCCCAGCACCCGGTCATCTCGGGCTACGAGGAGGGGCGTGAGGTCAAGGCCGGCAACCTGCTGCGCCTGACCTGCATCGCGGTGGGCGGCAACCCGCTGGCCACCTTGACCTGGCAGAAGAACGGCCAGGACCTGGAGGGTAACTATGGCACCAGCGGCCAGCTGGCCACCAATGATCTACCTATCATCCTGGAGCAGACGGACAACAAGGCTAACTATAGCTGCAGTGCCTCCAACCAAGCCACACCAACCCCACTGGTGACGCAGGTCTCACTGGATGTGCTCTGTAAGTCCTGGTTTGGGGCCTTTCTGCCTAAGTGTGGAAAAGCCTTTCTCTGTCCACGTTGTTATTTTGTTTGTTTTCTTGGTTGGTTGGTTGGTTGGTTTTTCTGTTTTTATTCTGCTTGTCCACATAATTATTGAACAGCCTTGCATTTTGTTCGCATTTTTCCATTCTTTTTCTTCTTTTTTTTTCTCATTAAAATCCCACAGACTTTGAACACAGTTTTTTACCCAGTACTTTAGTTACTTTTTAGAAGGTCGCATCTTCATCAATCTTAGCTTTAGAGTGTAAGGCATGCACGTGAATTACCGGTAACATGAAGTGCATGAGTTTGAATGATAGAGTGCTGAAGTGTGACGTGACTGTGAACCAGAAAGTGCAGTGCAAACGAATGGAGNAACGCGTGCGAATTGGTTCACGCGCTGATTCTCTCGCTAATGCCGTTTACACACTAATTGCGCGTGTGACGTATTCACTTTGGCACTCTATGCTGAGTAATGGCAGCTTAACTGTTCCCAACTTCCATGTTGTAATCCAAAGGAGCTCGTATAAGGTACATGTACATGTTTGCCGGAGCTTTCTTGAGTAGGCCTGCTGGATTCACCAAGACAGAAAACTGAGAAACAGGAGTGCCTAGAACAGACTAGTGACTAATCAAGGTTATCAAGAATCAAGATCATTAGTCAATGTTCGTTAGCTGGAGTGCAAAAATTGGGGGGGGGGCACTCATTGCGCCTATTTCCACTGGGGGCAGGGGGGACTTCCATGCTCCCCGGTGGATCCCCCCTTATGTGAGCAAGTCTGAGGGACTGCAAACGTATATTTAGGACACCATCTCTTTAACCAGTAGGCATGCGAAGCAAAGTTTTCAGAGTGTGGCCCAAGTCTAACTGCTATCGCCAACTCCCATCATCTCTCAGATTTAGGAAAAAACTGTTTGGGTGGTTCCCTATGTAGATGTTACACATTGGACTTGAGTAGTTCCACAGTGCAGAATTAAGGAGCCTTTCCATATGCATGTCAACAATTGTGCCATGCTTTGCCTATCCCTCAGAATTGCTCCGAGAGCAATTCTGACAGCCAAACGCAAGCACACTTGTGTTATGTTAATGGAGTCAGTTTTTGTGTCGTGAAAAAGAAATGCAATAACGCATCATGTATCCAATGCACCCACAAAATGAACATATGGAAAGGCACCTTTAGAGTTAAGAGAGACTAACAACAGTCTTGCAAACGCCGTTTAATGTAATTGCAGTTTGATGGTTGTAACTTCTTGATGCAGAATCAAGTTCATTTGAGCAATGCGCAAGAGACCACAAAGTATTTTCTAATGTCACCCATAAGCCTCACACACTATGTTTACCCGGTATGTACACGTGGACAAACCCGTCCACCTTGTAATGAATTGTACCCATCCAACGTCATCTGCAACTCTGCCATTACCTCTTGACAAGTTGTGTGTTTCTTCTCAGTTCCTCCTGAGAGAGTTTTTGTAACTGCTGAGCCGCCCCAGTCCAGAGAGGGCGACAGGGTGGTTGTCAAATGCCGTACTGCGAGCAGCAGCCCGGCCAGTCAACTCTCCTGGTGGAAGGACGGGGTCCCAGTGGAAGGTCAGTCTGGAATTTTTCCCCTCATTTATAATAGGCTTTTACCTGTAGCTTTATTTGGGATTGAACATATGGTCCCTGTAAGTTTACCTGCTGTGATATCAATTTGTCATAAAGTCTGTTTTGGGAGTCGTTCATATCTTGTTATCCTCCCCCATGTATGTACCTCTCTCTTTTGTAGAGGGCAGTGTAGTAGTCCAGACCATGACGGGACAATTTGCAAGACCTCACACAAGACCAGACACAGGACTAGACACAAGGCCAGTCACAAGACCAGTCACAAGACCAGACACAAGGCCAGTCACAAGACCAGACACAAGGCCAGTCACAAGACCAGACACAAGACCAGACACAAGACCAGACACAAGACCTCACACAAGACCAGACACAAGACCAGTCACAAGACCTCACACAAGACCAGACACANTACGCGCGAGTGTTGGTTCACGCGCTGATTCTCTCGCTAATGCCGTTTACACACTAATTGCGCGTGTGACGTATTCACTTCGGCACTCTGTGCTGAGTAATGGCAGCTTAACTGTTCCCAACTTCCATGTTGTAATCCATAGGAGCTCGTATAAGGTACATGTACATGTTTGCCTGAGCTTTCTTGGGTAGGCCTGCTGGATTCACCAAGACAGAAAACTGAGAAACAGGAGTGCCTAGAACAGACTAGTGCATGTGAATCCATTGCCTAGACTGAAATATAATCAAGGTTATCAAGAATCAAGATCATTAGTCAATGTTCGTTAGCTGGAGTGCAAAAATTGGGGGGGGGCACTCATTGCGCCTATTTCCTCTGGGGGCAGGGGGGCCTTCCATGCTCCCCGGTGGATCCCCCCCTATGTGAGCAAGTCTGAGGGACTGCAAACGTATATTTAGGACACCATCTCTTTAACCAGTAGGCATGCGAAGCAAAGTTTTAATAGTGTGGCCCAAGTCTAACTGCTATCGCCAACTCCCATCATCTCTCAGATTTAGGAAAAAACTGTGTGGGTGGTTCCCTATGTAGATGTTACACAGTGGACTTGAGTAGTTCCATAGTGCAGAATTAAGGAGCCTTTCCATATGCATGTCAACAATTGTGCCATGCTTTGCCTATCCCTCAGAATTGCTCCGAGAGCAATTCTGACAGCCAAACGCAAGCACACTTGTGTTACGTTAATGGAGTCAGTTTTTGTGTCGTGAAAAAGAAATGCAATAACGCATCATGTATCCAACGCACCCACAAAATGTACATATGGAAAGGCACCTTTAGAGTTAAGAGAGAATAACAACAGTCTTGCAAACGCCGTTCAATGTAATTGCAGTTTGATGGTTGTAACTTCGTGATGCAGAATCAAGTTCATTTGAGCAATGCGCAAGAGACCACAAAGTATTTTCTAATGTCACCCATAAGCCTCACACACTATGTTTACCCGGTATGTACACGTGGACAAACCCGCTCTTCTGTTGCTCCAGAGGGAGGAAAACTAGTCCACCTTGTAACGAATTGTACCCATCCAACGTCATCTGCAACTCTGCCATTACCTCTTGACAAGTTGTGTGTTTCTTCTCAGTTCCTCCTGAGAGAGTTTTTGTAACTGCTGAGCCACCCCAGTCCAGAGAGGGCGACAGAGTAGTTGTCAAATGCCGTACTGCGAGCAGCAGCCCGGCCAGTCAACTCTCCTGGTGGAAGGACGGGGTCCCAGTGGAAGGTCAGTCTGGAATTTTTCCCCTCATTTATAATAGGCTTTTACCTGTAGCTTTATTTGGAATTGAACATATGGTCCCTGTAAGTTTACCTGCTGTGATATCAATTTGTCATAAAGTCTGTTTTGGGAGTCGTTCATATCTTGTTATCCTCCCCCATGTATGTACCTCTCTCTTTTGCAGAGGGCAGTGTTGTAGTCCAGACCATGACAAAACAATTCGCAAGACCTCACACAAGACCAGACACAAGACCCAGTCACAAGACCAGACACAAGACCAGACACAAGACCAGTCACAAGACCAGACACAAGACCAGAACAGACAATTCACAAGACCAGACAAAAGACCAGACAAAAGACCAGACACAAGACCAGAGACATGACCAGAGACGTGACCAAAATAGACAATTCACAAGACCAGACAGGAGAGCAGTCATAGATAACAGTATGAAGAGTGACAGAGGAAGTTTTGTGTTGCAGTTCATTGGAATATCCTGTGACTTGAATTCAGACTGGAGGTCTTGTGTTGGTCCACTGATGGTCTTGTTGGAATTTCTAATGGTCTTGAAAAGGGGTATCAACAGCTATTCGTCTGTACAGTTGGTTCCAAGCACCTACCACCTGTGCAAAGACATTACAGATACACATTACTTGCATGCACATTGTCCCAAACATACCTGAGTATATTGCCACTCCAAAGGGGACAAAGACATGTTGAAATAGCATCGCTGCTCATACCCGGCAAGATATGGGACGGAGGGGTACCCTCCCTACATGTCCAATCCCTATACACACCCTAGAGTATTGTTACCTAACACATCCCCCTTGATGTCTGTAAAGAGTTCCTGAGATTCCCATCAACGATGAACAACTCAAAGGTGGCGGGGGTGCTCTCCATCCCATATCTTGCTTCATATGCCTTTGCTTGCTCAAATGGTAACAGGTGCAAACCCCCAAACCATGAAACAAGGAGCCATGTAAGCTCATACTGGATTTAGGAAGGTCACGTTTTCAACATCTGTTTTGGATTTTTCATCAATATCTCTGCTGTAATCTCTTCACTCTTCTCAAAGGTGGTGAGGCAGTTGTTGAGCCCTCGGATAACAGTGGGTTCTCCACCAGCAGCGAGTTGGTTATTGAAAGCGTTTCCCTGTCCGACAATGGCCGTGTCTTCCTCTGCCGTGCCATGAACGACCTGATCGTGGAGGCGGTGAACGACGGTCTTATCATGGATGTCAGATGTGAGTCATTCCACCGTGGAGCACCTTTTGGCACTTGTTTTCCTTCTCTTGAAATTGATACAATGCTAATAATGCTTCATTTTATGCCAGTTGGTTACGGTGTCTTACGGTGTTAACTTGTAATTAATGCTATGTTGTTCAGAGAGAATTATCTGAAAGTGACATTGTTAACAGCATATTAGATTCACCAGTTACCACCACTTACTGGCAAATTTCAGGCATTTTGCCCCAAATATACGGTAAGAGTTTCATGAAAATCTGTAGAGATTGTGCATACATGTACATGTACCGGTACTTCATGTGATTTGTGTGAACAAGTACATTGACCGCAACTACGGAGTACCGGTCACAAAAGGGAGCAAATTCAAGGGATTCGCTGTCCCTGTCTTTTGTCCTCAATGGCACAGTAAGTACCTGCTGGTCATCTGTGGGAGATTGTTACTTGTGTATATTGTAGGAACAGTAGAAAACACAATGCCTTCTCCTCCGAGGTGCAGCCATGCAAAGATGAGATGTGGCTGCCAGGGAAGAGAGCCCCCTGTCTTTATCAGGCACTAAACCTGTTGCCCATTGGCATTGATGTTGCGACTGATTTCCTTTGACCAGTCAAGCCCCAGATCAGTGTCCCGGACCAGGTCACCCTCAGCACCCGCGAGGGGCCAGGCCTGCAGATCCTCAACTGTACGGCCACGGGCAACCCCGAGACGCTGACCTACCTCTGGCACCAGAACGGGGTCCCCATCGCCCTGGAGGGGAATCCTCACTTCGCCGTCAACGAAGCTGGCTCGCTGTTTGTCCACAACGCCACCCGAACGGAGGTGGGCAAGTACATGTGCGTCGTCAGCAATGAGGAAGGGAGCAGTAATGTCACGATGACACTCGACGTGCAGTGTGAGTACTGAGTGCCAAGTATTCATAGAACACCAGTGTTGAGTGGTCGTAGATCACACGAGTGTTCACAGATCACATTAGTGTTGAATGATGAAACATTCAGTACTCATAACCATAGCCAGCACCACATTGGAGAGACCTTCTCTTTTAGTAGTAATTTTGGACTGGTCTCTGGGAATTTTTGATGTGTCCCCACATTTTTCATCCCTGCAGTAAGTGTTAAACCTGATAATAACCCCCTCAGCTATGCAATAACACTATTTATGACATGGGTGTACTTGAGTATAGTACTCACTGTATAGTATTTATGACATGAGTGTACTTGAGTATAGTACTCACTGTATAGTATGAGTTTTGAGTGCTGAGCATTAGGGGTAACTCTGGGAATATCATCATGGCATTGGGTGTAGTATTGCGTCCGTATAAGTTGTCAATAAACAGTCGTCATGTTAGAGCAACAAGGTCGTATCTCGTGTACAAACAAATGAGAGTTACGACCTTGTTGCACTAACATGACGCCCGAGTGTTGGTATGGTTGTGGTTCTGAGCATTGTACAGGATATTTTTTGTTGAGTGTTCATAGTGAGTGATAATATCTCTGGTGGTGCTTATTAATGTGAGTTTTAGTGTTGAGTTAAGAGAATCAGTTTTCCCCATCTTGAAAACCCTACACCATCAGATTCGCCCATCATCACCACGGGGGACCAGATCGTCATCAACCTGTTCTCCATCAGCGAGCTGGCGTGTGAGGCGGACGCCAGCCCCAAACCGCAGGGGTTCATCAGCTGGTCCCGCGATGGGTTTGACCTGAGCCACCATCAGGTGGAGTACAGCGAGGGGCGGGGTATCCTGCGCATACTCAACGTGTCTAAGGCGGACGGAGGGCTGTACACCTGTACAGCCAACAATGGCATTGCCCCGGCCATCACCAAGAACATACAAGTGGTCGTGCAGTGTGAGTACATAGTCAAATCCAAAAATTAATTTTGAAAAAAAAAAGGACTCACTGCCAAACAATTTTTGTAAATTGTTGCAATTATAATGAGAGCTGTATGTAACGCAGTGACACTTCCAAGTTTTGTTTAATGCATGCTTTAGTATTCATCACATATTGTACATACATTTTCTTGGGTATTTTTTGGTCTAGCAGCTAAAACATGAAAATAAAAGCCCAAATCAGTGGCTCAGTGAATGTTGATACCATTTGAACTCTGGATGTTTTGTCTGTCTGTTTGTCTCCTTCCGTTTGTGACAGTTATGCCAGAGGTTGACCGTTCCGTTCCCAACAAGGTGGCCCAGAGCACTGGCCAGACAGCGGTGCTGCGATGCCGGGCAGAGGGAGCCCCCGTGGTCAGATTCAAGTGGTTTCAAAGAGGTTTAGAGGTCAGGCACTCATAAATATTCATCAATGTATAGATCATGCATACCGGTACATGTTACATGTGCATGTAGTTATCCACCTCATGGTTGGTCTGCTGTTCATCACAACACTGAATAATAACCTGTCTCGTGATAAGTCCCACCCCCTTTGCCTAGAGTCTTTTTAGAGGTAGCAAATTTTCTGGTGGTATGCCTACGTCGTGCCTTTTCTTTCAGCTCCATCCTTTTTGGTTGTCATTCTGTCCGGTGCTTGGTCCATAATTGTCTTGAATGAGGACTTTCTCGTTAAATGCCTTAGATTGCACATTTGTGGCCTGGTACGTTGAAATCAGGAATAGAAGTCCTACCCGGTAAAATAAACAGAAACCGCCATATCGATTTTTCAACATTTACCCACATCCCCACTTTACTCGGCCATTACGTGAAACGGCCTCGGCGACTTATTCCTGATTGCGATGTACCGGGTCATGTTTACCACAGCGTGTAGAGTTTCCCCTTAAGCAATAAAGAAAGTTTAAGGTTGAAACACGTGGTCATTGTTCCCTGCATAGTCAATCACATTAGAAGCAGGTACAGGTACATGCATCACTGGTAGTAATAGCACCCCTCAGTCATAAAGTAATTATTGTCATAACCGCAAATGGGTCATTAGGGAGACATTCCCATAGGAACATGCATAAAAGTTTTCCAACTTTACTGTCCCATAATTCAATATTCCCTAATCTGATCTGAACCAAACTTTGTACGTTTTCATTTTA